TCTAAAAGAATAATTTGCATGTGAGAACACTGAAAATTTGTGAGGGAATTGCACTATGAAATAAAGCTTCAGATAGTTGTTGGTTTTTTTTCTTTTATTAAATGTTTTAAATTTACATCCTTGCTGCCCTCGTGTGGATATGTACTGTGTGTCCTCCGTCTGTTGAAACTAGCAATGGACAGATTTTGTTAGAAGAGCAGTACATACAACAGTATTTACACAGCAGATGAAGGACAGTTCAGATACTGAACTGATGCTGTCTGTCGGAGCCAAGGATCTTGAGCAAAGTGGCTCAGAGTGTCTGTGAATACATTTGCTGCATTTTAGTTCTGGAGAACCAGGAGTGCCCTGACTGTTAGGAATCTGCTGCCCAAACTCTGCGTGGAGAAAGCTGCCTTTGCAGCTGACAGAAAGTGATGAAGTCTCATTCTGAACCAGCTAGTGTGTATCCTGAATTGACCAGGTGGGTCCATCCAGAAGGAACATGCAGTATTTCCAAACACCTTTCAGCTCAAGGTATGAGACAAACCAGAGTACTGACCACAAGTCTCTAATATACCAGCATGCAGCAGCTGTAGGAGCAACACTGGTAAAATGATACAAAAAAAAGGAGGAAAAATAATCCAGCAGGAGCCAAGTTAAATAATTATTTTTGTAGCTGTCACTTGCTGGTGTACAGACAATTGCTGTGTATATTAGCATAATTAATGTTTTTTTCAGGAATTCATGTTGGAATTGCATTATTACCCATATGTTATTGTACCATTACCTATATGTTATCATACCATTAGAAGCTGTGGTACATTCTTAGCCAACAATAATGTTTCATTGCATAGCGTATTAGTTGCCCATCTATCTACCAGAACCAAGTGGTCCAAACAAAAGTTTAATGAATAATACTGTAAAGATACCAACCGTTGGGATAAGTTACTTTTAGAAAATTAGGACTTACTCGTTGCTAATTTATAAAGCAAATAGCAAAACTGAATTTTATAACATTACAATAAAGGGTTTGAATGAATGGCTTTGGCAATCTTGCTTCTGTAAAATAACTTGTGGAGAAATATGAGATACAGAATCATAGATAAGCTTTTAAGGCTTTTATTTGCTAGATAATTGAACACCGGGTCTAGCCAAGTTTCAGATCTTTCTTAGGTGCTATACATTTCAGTATATACATACGACTTCTTTATAGAGTATTAAACAAATTCTCTAAATTATGTTCAGAGCTGACTCTGATAATAAAAATTGAGGAGCCCTTTTTTAGACAGTCAGAGATAAAAAGTGTGTTTCAAAGAAAAGTTAGTTAGTTAGTTTGCTTGGGAAAATACAATCAAAATAAAAACAGGAGTACAGTAACCTGAACAGTGCTCAGATATCCTGCTCTTTGCATGGACTATTTATGTTTGCTCCCATTGCTGTTAACACCAAAGGCTTTCACAAACAGATTGTCTGCAGGCCTAAAATAAAGACGGAAGATGAGACCTGAGGTGGAGGCCCGTGGCTTGGAAAGGAGAAGCGAGGCGCCTGGCTATCTGCCAGATGACAAGCAGGCGAGTTGTCACTCGGAAGGATGTAAGGTCGCTTAAAGAGTGGTGCTGGCTGCGGATCCCAGGTGGCTGCGCTGGACGATTTGCTCACTTGGGTGCTGTTTCTGAGCAGGAGGTGTTTATAGGCTAGGTGGATCAGACTTAATATCTCAGATATCGTCACTTTCTGTCCTGTGCAGTAATACTATAACCTGTTATTGATAGCGGTAAAACCCCTCTAGAGAGGCAGAGTCCTTTTGCTTTCCCTCCTTCTTTGCTTCAGCCAGGGATTGCCTTCTGTGTGCAACAGCAAGTTCTGGGCTCTAATACACCGCGGCTAAAAGCCCACTCCTTTTCAACTGCCCCAGCAAAGCCGCGCACAGCAGAGCCCTGCTGCTTCCTATGGAGAGGTGGCTGGGGGTCCGGGCTCTTGCTCTCGGGAGCAGCGAGCATGGCAAGGCATGGGGGGCCATGCAAGGCTCCCTGCGGACGAGGTTCTCCACACCCGCCCCATGGCACAGGGCGGAGGGAGCCGCTGCCGTCCCAGCCCTGGGGGAGCATCCTCCCTGGGCCGTCTTTGCCCCACTGCCCTCCAGTTGGGGAACTGGGAGTTTGGCTCCCAGATCCTCTTTGAGGATTTACTTTCCGTATCATAAACATCATGTTCTTCAAAAGACATCTGTAGCAAGATACTCAGAAGTTACTTCTGTTCACTGTGCTTCTGCTGACAAAATAAGCGCTGTAATTGAAATCTGAATTTAATAAAAGTTCTCACGCGTGGGGACTTCAGCAGCATACTTTGTTTGAACTCTCTAGTCTTTATAGTCACTTTTTTCTTGCTAATCTCTGTTGCATTCTAGTAACAATATGGGAACCGATGGTTAGCCAAGAAATACCTTTTATATTCAGTTTTCTGGTTAAAATGACAGTTGGAATTTGGGACTCTTAGCATCACCAGCCATCTGGTTTTTCTCTGTGTGGTTTAATATTGTCCTGAAAATACTGAAACTTATTCTGTACAACAGGGCACGTGGAAATATAGTGAGCAGCCAAAGAGTTCACTAACAGGAGAACAAATTATCAGGTATCAACACCTCAGTGGTACTGCCTCCACATGAGTTGCTATTCCATGGCACATGTAAAAGAAGGTAATTTACTTTTGGTGTGCCTTGGGGCAAAAGCAAGTATGGGGATGATTGCTGCAGAGCAGCAGAAGCACTGTAATGTGTTTGTTGCACAACGACATGTCAAGTCACTGAAATTTACTCCAGTTCCTTTCTATTTTAAGGATATTGTATGAGGAGCGTGCTGGCAATTTGATTTGACGCTTGTGTTACAGGAGCTATTATGTAAGGCTTCGACAAAGATACCAAGTGGGTTGTGTGTCATTTTACCTGTGCATCTCAGAGTTTTCAGAGGAAAAATAATAGGATCTTTCACTACCTTAAACTTACAGTAAACATTTACTCTAGTTCTCTGGAGGAGGTTGTAGAGAAAACTAGATGAGTCACTCACTAGAGTTTATATTTCTTTTACTAATTGGTATGTACAGTGAAAAAGCTCAGAAAGTAAGATCACTGAGCAAACAGGATAGCAAAGCTCTAATTGATTCTGCTGGTGTTCTAAGAATCAATTGACCAGCAGCATTGGTCACTCGTTTCAAATTGTTTCCCCTCATCTACTCCTTCCTTAAAAATATTTTGAAGATTTGGGTTAAAAAAGTTAGAATATTTAAGGTGCAAGTCAGAACACAGTGTTGAACTATACATTCATCCCAGTTCTGATGCCTTACTATATACCAACTAGTAGAATCATGTAATAAAATTTTGATATGGAAATTTCTGTAATTCAAACCATCTTGTAATGCCACTTTGTGTCAAGTATTCCTTCTGTCTGACCTCATTAGGTGTGCCAAGTCATTAGATACAGTGTTACTAAAGAGTTTTAACTTAAAAGCTGCTTTGATTAATGATTGGCTGGACTGAGGTTTTACTGTGTAGGATTAACTAGATTTAAAAATGGCAAAATGCCATTTTTGCATTAATGCCAGACGTTAATGAGAAGCAGAAGTAAACTCCAAGGACCCTTCTGATTTTAATATGGACTAAACTCATGTGCTCATTACCTTAATGTCCTGTCCTATTTTATAAACAAGTATTCCAGTAATTCCAAGAGAATAGTAGCCTAGACAGCATATTAAAAATATGTAATCTGAAGTATATAACCCTATATTTTTAATGAATCATAAATTTTTATAATTTTAGAATCGGATTTGTTCAGTGTTATTATCAAATAGGGAAAAATGCTTCATACTGGTTTGGGCCTTTTTAACTAAGAAACAAAAAGGAAGTAAGGCACAGCCAGACTGGCAAACATTTCTCCCAACTAATAATGTACTGACAATGTAGATGAGAAATGCATTTTCACATTTTTATGTTGTCTGCTACTTGAATTTCCTTTTACTGTTTTCTTAAGTTCGTTTAGTTCTCCTGAAAGTTTACGAAGTTGGCACTTCTAGAGATTAATAACCTTAATTTATTACCGTTGATCATGTATTTCAATATATGATACTGCCAAGAAAACCCAGACTGTTCTCACTCCAGACAGCATTCAGTCATCTCCTTAAATCCTTATAGACTTGATAGGGTTTAAGCATATACTTAAAAGGTAATACATTACTGAATGAGGGCCTTTGTATCTAGAATTTTTTCAGGCCATGGTGTCTTTGCTGAGATAATCAAAGGGCACTGATTTATTCTTAGAGCTGAACACGAAAAACTTTCCCATCGCCGGAGCCTGAGAATTTTTTTCCTGCATTGATCCCGATTTCCCAATTTTGGTTATTTTCCAGTGAACTTCCAGTAGTAAGAAGTGTGTAATGAAATTTTTGTTTCTGCATAGTAATATGCTGTGAGAATTAAGCACAGTGTGCTAATAAGCAATAACAACAGTTCTTCGCAGAGGCGACACTGTTTCTGCCAAAGCATGTAGGATGACATCCAACCAAATACTTGGGCTGTAATGCCTAATTTCTCATTGAAATCACGGATGTATTGGACTTGACATAAATAGGATTACTCATTCACGCAAATTTACGTAAGGGTCCAAGGCACGTATCCAGCTTTCAGTGAGTTAGGAGTCTACGTACTTGTTTGGCTCAGGGCCCCAGGCACTTGCATAACGTTGCTTGTATGAGTTACCCCGCTGAAGTGAGACCTACATCAACGTGGTTACTCACACCAGCAAAATTGTGCCTGTGGACAAGTGATGACAGTCAGGGATCCTGCTTCCTCCTGTATCGCATTGAGAACTTCTGTTCTCACTGATGATCGAAGCTCACTAACCAGCATTACCTTTGCAGTCCCCATCGATAATTTCCGTGCCACTGAGTTTTTCAGCTACAGTCTAATACCACTTCTGTATTCTTTACTTAGTTGACTCATTGATATTATTTGTTTTTCCTTTTTTTAGGGAGAAGGCCAACAAAAACAAAGGACAAGAAAAAGAACAAGAAGAATTTGATGGAAAGGGCTCAGAAGCAGCACAGCATCTTTTTAGCGACAGATAAAACAAGCCAGTAAAGACTTGATTTTCTTTAATATATTTTTTGCGAAGTGCACAAAAGCTGCTATATGCTCCTGCCCATGGATGCACTACAATTCAGCTGCTTTGACAGTATTGGTGGCAAATAACTTGTGAAAAAAAAGCCCACAAGCTTGTTTGTTTTATTTATATATTTTTTTATTTTATTTTTTTCCTCTCATTTTTGACCTGAAGACTTCAAGGTCAGGAGTGCACTGAGTTGAATCAGTGAAAGTGGTGCTGAAGTATGTCAAAGATTTGTCCTGAGTGCCTGGTCAACATGTTGACACGGAAGGGAAGCAGGAAAGAAACCTATGTATCACCATTAGGCGGACTTGTGCATATTTAAATAAAAAAAAAAAGGAAGTCTTGGAGGTGTAGGTACTATTGCATTTATGGCCTTTGTTTCCTATATTTGTACATTTCAAGAGTAAATGGATATGACTTACCTACATAGCGTTAATGTACATTGTTCTCAGCACCTGCTACATTGAAACAGTTGTGTAATAAAACTGCTTTAAGATAATATACCACAGGAATTACTGCTTAGACTTACAGAAGCACAACAGACCCTATGTGTACATATTAATCTGTCTACATATAAATGAACATATTTACTGTACATCTATGCATTTTTATGTATAATACTTTATACATGTTTAAAGTTATGTCCTGTTGGTTCTAGTAATATACTTTAAAATAACCCAGTAAATGTTTACTTTTTACTATGTTTTAAGTATCTTCTCATATTTCTCAATAGTTACAAACTGGATTTTTTTTCTCATTTGTAAAGCACATTCAGATGACTAAACTACCTTGTACTGACACTCGCAATGGAGTGTCAGCTCTGAAGTATACTTGCCAGAGTAGTAAACCACAAATCTTTTCTGCTATTCTGTACTACTATCTCAGCCCCAGTGTATTTGTCTCAGAAAAAAGAAGTGTAACTTTTTTAAGAAGAGGCACGATGATAGGTTTTTTTGAGTGTCAGGAGAGAAATGACATGGGAAGTTCTTGGTATCTAAGATTGTATGTGTAGTTTTTTTCAAATATAATCCACAGTGTTTAATTTCTGTTAGTCCTGGTCCAGTCAGATACAGCAAACAAATACCTGAATAGGGGAGAAATAAAAGAAAAAGCTATGTGAGTTCAGTCATTCAAAAGTATAGCAAACACCAGTGTCCTGGTGTTGCCAGTTATTTGTGGAAGTTTAGCAAATTTAATCTGCATCTGGTGTTTGTTTTGGGTGTTTTTTGGGGAGGGGTGGAGAGAATTTTCTGTGTAGGAAGTTAAAATGGCTCGGGATGTGTAATTTGGTAATCCAGCATTATTGGGCTTGCATTCAAGGAGATTTTTTTAATATCTCCTGGGAAAAGCCCATGCTAAAATGGCTGTCATTTATGCTGTCACTTAGAGAAGTTATTCCAGATCTAGGACTAAAAATTGCATAGGACCTACCCAAAGCAAGGAAAAGGTAAAACAGACCCCAGACCCGTGCAGAACTCTTTTTGACATATACTTTAGAAAAATCCCACAAATCTCAGTTTTAGTTTTATGGGTTATATGCTTTACAAATAAACTAGGGGAAAAAAGCATCTGTAAGCACAAATATATACATATTTAGCTAGGACAAGTGTTGCTACAAAAATGTGCGGTAGTTAGGCACATATGAATGTTCCATGAAACCGCTTGTGGACTTCCAGTTAACCATGATGTTTTCACCATCTTTCATTTAGAATATGTTCATATTTACCTAGAACATAATAATGTTAAGGACAGTAAGATTGTTCTGATCCTGGGCTGCTATTTTGGACATCAAATGCTCACTTAAAAAAAAAAAAAAAAAAAGACAATAAGAACTGTAGCTGCCTGTTTGCTTACTGGTTATCAAATTTGGCTGTAAGTGCAGTGAAAGCCCTTATACAATCCTTCTAGTAGTGGTTACAAATATTGTATTAGGCATGTCATGGAAAGAATGCTACAAAATACAATAAAATGATGTCACAAGCTTCTGAGTAAAATATTTTTGGTCCTTTTTAATTCAAAGAATGTGTTCCTTTGGAATGGCATACACATAGAAGAATTGGAGAAGGTGTGTGGATGCAGATTTTCTCCTATTGGAGTGGAAAATTTGAGGGTTTTCCAAACAACTATTTTGTTGACACTCAACAACACGTTTAAAAAGGCTTTGTACATTAGATATACATTGATTTCTCTTGTCCCAGTCACCTTCATATTCAGAGTTTCCTTGAGAGCGTAAATGCAAGAAAGTCATCTCTAAGTAGAAGTGGCCTCATGTAGTTTCTTCTTTGTCCTAGACATCTGTTTTTATCTTGACTTTGCATGGTGGATCCTATCAATGTATTCATAGCACTGGGGTTTTTGTAGGATCATACTTCTCCTGAGGTTAGAAAGGACCATTCCTTGGACATTAGGACAAGGTTCTTCACTGAGAGGGTGGTTGGTCACTGGAACAGGCTGCCCAGGGAAATGGTCACAGCACCAAGCCTGTCAGAGTTCAAGGAGCGTCTGGATAATGCTCCTAGTCATATGGTTTAGTTTTATGTGGTCCTGTGAGAAGCAGGGAGTTGGACTTGATGATCTTTATGGGTCCCTTCCAACTTGAGACATTCTATGATTCTATGACCTTGAGAGATCATCAAGTCCCACTCTCTGCTTGAAACAGGGATAACCTTGAAATTATATCAAATGTGCCTGAGGTGGAGGATTTAACAGCCTCTCTAGTCTGTGTTGCCACGTTTGACGACCTTCACAGGGAATTTTTGTTGCTGTGATTTGTGTACATTGCCCCTTGTCTTTTTGCTGTGCACCTCTGAGAAGAGTTGAGCTCAGTCTTCTCTGTAAGCCCTGATCAGGTAGCTGAAGGCTGCTGCTAGATTTTCCTTTAGCCTCCTCTTCTCCAGGTGAAACACCCACAGTGTCTTTGGCCCCTCCTTGGATGTTTTGTGCTCCAGCCCCCTATTTTAGTGACCCTCCGGTGGACTTACTCCATTCCTCTCTCATACAGAGTATCCCAAACCAGGCACAGTACCCCAGTGGTGGCCTCCTGAGTGCTGAGTAGAGGAGGTCCAGCCTCTCCTGGACTACTCCGTTTTGGGATTCCAGAGGTGATCCTCACAACAGTAGCTTTCATACTTCTGCTGGGATGCTTCAAGAACTGGGGACAGCTCTGGGAGAGGACTGGTTTATGCTACTGCATCAAGATGTTCAAACAGATACTATTTCTTGGTAAAGTGAAGAAGATCAGGCTGTCAAAGCTGGATATCATGAAAATAGCCTATGCCCACTATGCCTCTTATTTCCATTAAATTTGATCAGAAGCAGGCTTGTAAAGGTTGTCTTTTCTGGTAGGCAACTGACCAGGTACAAATGCCACCTTTTTCCCCTTTCAGAGCTGTCATTACTTTTTGACTCTTCAAAGAGTGGAAGAATTCAGAGCAGCGGAGCTTCTGTGTTCACGAGGTTTTTATGCACCAAGTTTAATGACTAGCTATTGGAAATTTGTTTAAAACTAGGAAAGATTCAAGTTAGTAGGATAAAGAACTTTCCATGCTGTAATCATTGGTAAAGTGTTACATTGCTATGATCTGCAAGAAGTTCTTTTTTGAAAGCATAAATTCCTTTATATCGTATTCACTTGTCCCAGAAGAGACAATTGCATAGCCCCACTCTGCATTTAGGATCTCTCTGTCCTCAGTGTGCCTTACCTTATCCTGACCTCCTAGCATCTGTCTCTTTAAATTAAAAAAAAAGCAAACCCAAACCCTAAAAAAAACAGGTGAAAGCTTAAAGCAATTATTTTGTGGGTGACTGGTCTTTACTGCATCTCAGCTGTTCCTGCTAGTGAGCAATTATTGTTACATGTCTCTTTTCTTATTCCTGGGGGGGGAAAAATGTTGCATTCCACATTATGGCAATGCAAACCTTCCATATTACAAATGTCAGTATTAGGAAATTGTTCTCCTCTTACGCCTATATGCCTAACATAAAGATACCTATGAAAGAAAAGTGAACACTTGTAGAACTTATATGATGTGTCTCCCTTTATCAGTATGAGTTTTTATTACAGAAAATTGCAGAGCAGAAAAATATATGAAGCAGATTTTCATTTGAGTTAGCTAAAAATAAAGCAAAAATCTATTAAATGCCATCTTAACTTTATTTTTTCTTTTTTTTAAAGAAAAAAAGAAATGTTGGTAAAATCTTGATTGAAAGTTTATAAATTGAGAAGACTTTTCCAGACAGATTAAGATCAAAGTTAGTGCTTCAACTGTGTTATGTTGATGAACTAGAATATAGAATAAAAATAACTGGATACTACCAGCACAAATGCCATGCTTTTTTAAGTGGGTGATGCTACTGAAGACTGATGCTACCACCTACCAGAGGGAATGAGAGCCTTTTGAATTCAAACTGCACATCTCTTTCCCTTCACCAGCAAAATATACTCGTCTCTTGACACTAGTTCACTTTCCCTTCCGACGGTGTAAGCCAGCATAAATTCCAGTAAACTTTAGACTGATGTTATTTTGGACTGACACCAACAAGAACAAAATGTACCCTTCTGAAAGTGTAACTCACAAACCACTGTCAGCTTTTTGTTTCGTTCTTTACCGAAAGCTCTGCACGGAACCTGGCATCATTTCTTTCATGAGAAGCCTCTGTCCAGGAGTGAGGAAAGGGCATTAACTTTAGGAAGTATTAGAGCAGCCTGATGTACAGGATGCCTGAGAGAAGGGCAGGCCACTGTTTGAAGTGCAGTTCCTCTCGGGAGTGAAAAATGCTATAAGGCAAGTATGACTAGAAAGAGCATCCTAAGTGAGCCCAGCCTTTAGCCCATTGTCTAACTCTTCTAGACTTCAACTGATATTTTTTAATGCATACTAGCTCTGTTTATGTCTAATGAACATATGTCCTCAAGCTCAGTGAAGTTGGACCCTTACTTAAACTGGCCAGTAGTGTGTCTGTGGTCAAGCCCGCTGTGAAAGAGCTGCCCAGCCTCCTTGTTTTCAAATTGTGTCTTCAGTAACGCTCATGTAATCTTGTTGATTTTAATTGGGCAATACCAATGAAACTAACTAATAGTTCATAGACCACAAATGAATAAACACTGAAAATGAGGCTGTTTCTTTTTTTGCCAGTCACTTTTCAAAACAGAAATTTAGCTCAAGAGAGCAAACAGTGGCAGATAGAGAATATATCTTGGCTTGCAGCTATGCCTTAGCTTCCCTGTCAGACTTTAAGGGGGCTTTATGGGAAAGACAAGACTTGTGGAGGTTTTTTTTCCCCTGAAGTCTTCTTTTTATCAGAAACTTTGGTGAGAGGTTATGTTTGCTTTCTCCTTCTGGGTGGACTTGGAGGTATGGGTTGCCATCTACAGAAGCTAAGGCCCTCAACTGCCGGGGAGCTCCTGATCTTTGCTCTGGAATTGTTTTAGTCTTTTATTTAGTTGCTGTCTAGTGATACATAACACAAAAAAATCTCAGGATGTGGAGTGCAGCCACACGATTTCTCTGTCAGTTTGGTACTCCTCTTTTGGCCTCGTGTTTCTTGTTATGCTGTGGCCTGTCTTCAGCAGGAGCAGTGAAGAGCCCTTCTACCACAAATGTCTTCTAGTCTGCTTATTCTCTTGGCTAGGGCATGTGGATTCAAACTCTAAGGCTGATCCTAGTAATTTATTTTGTGATCAGGTATTTTGTCTCTAGAGAG